TAAGCACTGCTGATCAAATATAAACCAATATTCTGTCACTGCACTGCCTATTTCTCACCTAAATGTTTATTAGAAACATGTTTTAGTTTACAGTACAACTGTAATACATGATTGTTACCATCTGGCCACCATTGTGTCAAATGGACAAGTTCGCATTACGTCACCCACAAGCGGGATCTTTTAATGGCTGGGTGCAGCGCTCTGCATTCTGGTAGTTGTAGGTGTTCTACCTCTGAAGCAAAAACGAATGCCACAGTGCTTTTCCTCTGTTTTCTCTGATAATGTAGCACCAATTTCAAAGGTGTTTGCATCTTTCTACTGCCAGGATGGCCCAGCTTAAATATATAAATAAAATATACTTGAAAGACAACACTGATGCATTTTGTAATGCCACCCGTTGTTAGTGTTGTTTTAGGTCATTGCGTTCTGGGTGACAAAGTGTTACTGATGGGAGACAAATGTTAGTGTTATGCTACAAAAATTGAAGGTCTTGAAAAGTATTGGTTGCATTTGTGCCTGTTGAATGTAAGATTAACTGCTGTGCTGAGCTACCAACATGTTCTTATCCCTAGTCGTCACATATCAGCTCTTTGTCAGTGGCCTTACAGGTCTACATATCACACGTCAGATAACTCCCTGCTTCTGCTATTGACATTCCAGGGTGCTGCAGCCAAGGTCGGGACATCAACAAAGCACATGGTTAGGTTTAACAAAAACATTGTTTGGTTCTACATTCATACAGGAAGTGAACACTGGGCTCTCAGGTGAAAGTCCTGGCTTTGTTGGACCCATCCACCCCCCCCACCCCAATTATTTAAAGCTGTGAAACTAGGCATCAATGGAATGCTCAGAACACTTTCACAGTCCATCATGTGTATTGATAACTTTCTAGAGAGTGAATAAGTTGTTCTCTACAACAGCACTGTTTAAACTTACAGGAGGACATTTGTGTTTCAGGTGTCACAGTGAGCACCGTGGTGGATCTGCAGAAGAGAATTATTGGAGGTCAAGAGTGTAGAGGAGATGAGCGTCGTTACCATGTGAAGTTGAATATAACTAATGGTACCCATGAGACGTTTTGTGGTGGCTCTCTGATCAGTAACCAGTGGATTCTGACTGCAGCACACTGCTGGGAGCAGGAATGGTGAGAAAGTGACAGTTTTACTTGAACCAGTAATAATATATTTCTCACTCACACATTCAGTGTGAAAGTCCTGAAGCAGCAATCAACAATGATTTGATTTAAATTCCCAAAATAAAGACATCAATGCTTATGTTCATGTTGATTAATTATTGACCTATAATATACAAATAGGGTGCATTGACAGTAATTCAATGATGATCCTCTTTTACCTTTACTTACTTCTAGGACTACATATGCAGTTTTAGGTGTGCATCCGGGGCCAGGAACAGAAGTGCAAATCACAGCACCACCCGTGATCTATATCAGCAACGGCGTCTGTCATGACATCATGCTGCTGAAGCTACCTAACCCTACTCAGGTTCAACCTGTACCACCTCCTAGGTGTAACGATCGTCCCAGTGTGTGAGTTGTGATCTTTCCCCTTTTAATAAGTCTGAAAGCTCAGCTGTTGAGGACCTGGAAATGTAAAATTCCTGTCGATTTTTTTTATACATTTTTAAAAAGAACACTGCTGAAAAATGTTCCATTTTACTGTGTTTCAGAGGTGATGCAGTTCAGATTTCAGGTTATGCAGCAACTACTGCAGGCCCTAATAATGTAAGAGGTGAGATGAATATTGTTTAGATTATGATTGCAATTATCTCCATTTATCAGAGTTAGTGTTTTTGCTTGTATGTTTTGTAACATTGCTGACACATATTAACATTAAATACATTTTAAATGTGTCTTTAAAGTGTTTTGTCTTCAAATATATTTCAATGCTTTTCATAAAAGAATAGAATTTGAAAATAATCCCATTCCAGTGTTACGTTGCAGCAGAAATCTGTTCATTGTTGGTGTGTATAAGTAGATAATAATGAAGTTATTTTGTTTTTGTTGTCAATAATCACTTTTTTTCTACTCTCATCTAGTAATTGCTACAAGACCCTCCAATAACCTCCAATGTGCAAACACCACGGTTGTCGACTGTCAGAGGCTGGCAGAGCTGGAACCACGCTGGCCACATCAACGCTTGTTCTGTGGCCAAAGGGCTGGAGTGGATATATGTATAGTGAGTTGGCATGGCTTCTAACCTTATAGCCTCTCTACAGTCATCACAAGTGTTACAACTTTAATATGGTGATTATTTCAGTATATGGTCAAAAAGTCTATAACACACAATATCTCTCTCACAGGGCGACTCTGGTGGAGGAGTAGTGTACAAAGGCAAGATCTACGGTGTCATTGCATTCACTTATGACGGGGGTTATGCCGGTCGAGAACCGGCTGGATTTATGAACGTCTGTGAATACATCAGTTGGATCAATGGTGTCATTACCAGACAGTAAAGATGTCTAATGTGTGGTTAACAGATGTCAACAGACATTTCACATAAGAACAGTTGAGTTACTCTAAATTTGCAATTGATATATTTACGATTTATTGGTTTAGTTTAAACTATTATTCTTGATACCCTTTAAGACAAACCTTAAATTCTGATTATATAACATGAATTTAGTTTCACAAGCTAGTGTCTAAGTTTACACATTCTTGCTGTCAGACTGTTATGGTTAGAAAATATCTAAATTTTGATTTTACAGATCTAAATTCAGATAAAGACAATTAGACATATCCCTTGTATAGATTTAATATAGTATTAGTATTATTAGTATTATGTAGTATTTTGCCTGTTAGTACACTCATTGAGTCATTGTGTGAAAAAACTACAAAGGGCAAATTCTAATAAGGTCTGCTATTCATTTAAAAATACTGATAACAGTGATAAATATGACAGTTCTTTTACATGTTGTGTCTGTTGAAATAAAATTAAAGTGACTCACAATTTAACAGTTTGCTCTTGTTTATTTGCTTTTAATGTCACAAACAAAACAAAAAAAAATATGTAAACAGATTTTTGCACAATTTAGCTCGGGAACACGAAATGGACATACCACCACCTGTTAAGTTATTATGGCGAACATTTAGCAAATACTTGCTTACTGTACACAGTCAGCAGTTATGGAGCAACATTAGCTTTCATTTGGAGTCGTGCTTCTGGCCACTATATAAAGTTAAGTCCAGTATATTTACTGTCATTTTAGCTCTGCTTTTGGGCTCCACCAAAGGTGATTATTTGCTCTTTAGCTGCTAAATGCTCCTCAGTGATCACCAGCTAGTTGCTAGCTGTGTCTGTCTGCCCGTTGATGCTAAGTGCACAATGGGTTTAACATTAACCCCAGCCGTGGTTGTGCCATGATCTTTGCCGAACCATAACCAAGTGGTTTCTAGGGGGTGAAAATTGCAGAAATTCAGAGCCGACTATTCTGAGCCAACAGTCAGCTGCTGTTGGAAGCAGTGCTGAAGGACCGTCTCAGTGAGCCGCTCTCCTCCTGCTTTCTCTGCCTGGTTAGCACAAGCTAACATAGCAGCAGTGGCATCTGACACCATATGCTTTACAACAATAATCTCACTCCCGCACAGATATGGCACAACTCTGTTGTTAAACACATTAATAACTGTTTCGTAA